GCCTTTTCACACCAAAAGTGAAATGAATAAGCCTCAGGCTGAAGGGAAAGTAAATTTACGTCCGTACAGTAGAATGCAGAAGAAGAAATTTCAACACACTTCAGCAATAAAAAAAGACACAAATGTTTGTCTAGAGTAATTTTTGCTTATTAGTATGGTTAAACTGAATCATCGAAGGTCAGAAGCAAAGACATCGGTTAATAGAATGGGATTAAATACATAAAGCATATGTGTTGTTTAACATTTAATTATTGCAGGTTTGCGTCATATTCTGAGTTGCATTATTTTTATTCATTTTGAGGAATACTGAATCTGTTTTTGTTTTGTGAGTGAGATGAATTAATGCATATTCATATTTATTTTAGATCTACAGTAACATCTTCTGATTTCTCTCAACATGGGGACAGGAGAGCTGTCAATCAATAAATTGGGAAAAAAAAGAAACTTGCGTTACTTATTTGAAAAAGTAACTCCGATATTCTCTTGTAAATTAAAAAGTAATGCGTTACTTTACTAGTTACTTGAAAAAGTAATATGATTACGTAACTTGCGTTACTTGTAATGCGTTACCCCCAACACTGTATATATATGATCAAAAACAGTACAATCTGTAATATTGTGAAATATTATTATAATTTAAAACAGCTTTTTGAATATATTTTAAGAGATGGCAAAAAAATAAATTTTCAGCAGCCAATTCTCCAGTCTTCAGTGTCACATGATCCTTCAGAAATTACTTTAAAATGCTTAATAGTGCTCAAGAAACATTTTTTTATTTTAATCAATGTGTAATCATTTTATGTTGCTTAATATTATTAAAAAACTAAGTGAATACTCTTATTTTAATACAGCAAGCATGCAATAAATTGATCAAACGTGACAGTAAAGATATTTATAATGTTACAAAAAATCTATTTTTAAGTAAATGCTATTTAATGAACTTGTTCTCAACATTAATAATAAGAACCATTGTTAATCTTTAAGCACTAATAATAATTGCAAATCAGCATATTAGAATGATTTATGAAGGTTAATGTGACACTGAAGACTGGAATAATGGCTGCTGAATATTCAGCTTTGCCATCACAGGATTAAATTATATTTCAAAATATATTCAAATTGAAAACAATTACTTACACATATATATACAATTATTTACAGGATTTTTAAACTGTATTTTTGATCAAATTAATTTAGCCTTGGGAAGCATAAGAGAGTTCTTTCAAAAACATTTAAAAATCTTAATTATTATTAACAACATTATTAACATTATCAACTTAAGTCAGGAATCTTGGTGTGATTCTGGAGACAGACCTTAGTTTCAGTAGTCATGTCAAAGCAGTAACTAAATCGGCATACTATCATCTAAAAAACATTGCAAGAATTAGATGTTTTGTTTCCAGTCAAGACTTGGAGAAACTTGTTCATGCCTTTATCACCAGCAGGGTGGACTATTGTAATGGTCTCCTCACTGGCCTTCCCAAGAAGACCATTAGACAGCTGCAGCTCATCCAGAACGCTGCTGCCAGAATTCTGACTAGAACCAGAAAATCTGAGCATATCACACCAGTCCTCAGGTCCTTACACTGGCTTCCAGTTATATTTAGGATTGATTTTAAAGTACTTTTACTCGTTTATAAATCACTCAATGGCCTAGGACCTAAATACATAGCAGATATGTTTTGTTAACTGATTATAAACAGACCACTCAGATCATTAGGATCGAGTCAGTTAGAAATACCAAGGGTTCAC